CTCGAGCTATCATCCTGGTTAGACCTGGCTTGTCATAACTTCGGGGAACCGACGATTGTAATGAGCTCTTGTGGATTCGTGCTTAGTTTGTGCCCCGATCTAACTCAAGCCATTGTCGTTTTGAATTTCTACCGTGCCTGGATTCTAGAAGTGCCCTGGGCTATTTGACAATGACACGGTGTCATTCATGTCCTTGGGCGATATTTGCCCTTTTGCGAGGGGTAAGATTGGTAAACATATTTTACCGAGGCGATAAAAAGTGGGGTAAACCCTATTTTCATTTTCATCCTTAGTGAAAACTTGGAGTTTTAAGAGAGTAAGGGTTTCCGGTGAATAAGGATTCCTGATGGTTAGGGTGTGCGCAAGGACTTCTGGTGGGGAACTTGGTGAACTTCCCGCAGAGAGGCTCATGGAAGTGCCGGCAGGGAGCTCAGGAAGCTGCTGGCCAAGAGCACAAGGGAGTCCCGTCAAAGGGCTGCAGCAGGTTTTCCAGCGACGAGCGTGCAGGTGAAGTGTTGAGGGAGAGGAGTTCTGGTCGTGAGTGCACGACTATACAGACAGGGGAACTACAAGGATGAGAGGACAAAAGGGACTGCCGACAAGGGTCGCACTAGCTTTTCCGACAAGGGCGTGCCGATGAGGTTCTCGGGGGGGGGGAATTTTCGAGAGGATCTGAATAGTCGTACAACAGGCGAAGGGTTTTCCTGGGTTGGAAGCCGAAGTGTCATTCCTTAGGAAGCCAGAGAGTCACAGGCGGGGGTACCCAAGGGTCATGATCTGCACGTATGGGCAAGAACACGAGTCACAGAGAGGGAAGGTGTACAACACGACGTGCGCAGGACACAGGGTTCTCACGTGCGAGTGTACGACGCACGTGAAGGGCTGCATCAAAGCGCATTACGGCTTGGAAAGTCTGCATGTCAGGCTTAAACGGTCGTGCCAGAGAGGCTCTCGCACTTGGATCGACGACTTAGAAGAGTGCAAACAGCGGTCTGATTGAAGAGGTGTGCCCAACGACTGAGCAAACTTGTACGATAGGGAGAGGGCGCAGCGGCTTGGAGCACAGGATGGCCAAGAATTCTGCAGGAGTATGTAACCATTGAAGGACCAGGGTTCAGGAGTTTCGAGGATAAAGGCTCTTGTAGGGAACAACACTGCTAAGGACACAATCATCATCAAAGATGACGGACCCCTTGCGAAGGTCAAGAACTGGTGGATATGATGGGTATTGAACCATCCTCCTCATCCCGACTTCCTCGTTCCAGGGGAGGAGCCGGATTGGTGCCTTATTTCGGTCGAGTCATCTTCATCCCGGCTTGGTTTACTCTTGGGGGCGTTATTCCATAATAGTTAAGGAACCCCTTTTCTATGCAGATAGAAGGGCTGGACTACCTCAGTATTGAGATCGGCTTTATGGAGTATGGGGTAGAGCTCTGGAAGGTTGTTCATTGTCTTATAGGCACGTCTTCCCATGAGGAGTTGATACAACTCATTGAGCTTTTGAGACAAACTTCGGTGAGGCTGACAGCTTTTGGGGTATTAAAGCTTACCAACTCAGGGGAATCATGGAGGAGTTAGCTTTGATGGCGGAAGAAATCCTGAAACTGAAAAGGCTAATTTCACTTGTACTGAGCCCATCTATCAGTCCCCTATTTGACTTCTTTTCGGGCGAGCCTTCTATTTCGGCTATGTTGAAGGCCTCCTAGAGGAGTTCAAAAAGGATTTAGCATAGGGAGGGTCTTCAATTGTCCCTGAAGGCCCATTCTCTGCAGGCGGGGGAGCATGTTGTCCTCGGGGGCATCTAATTTAGGGACAACACGGCTAGCATGCTCGTTCTTCGACGTCATATTGACGAGACATAGGCCTTGTTACCCCAAGTTTGTGAGAAGATGAGGCACTTCCCCTTGACCAATTTGTAGTGGGGTACCTTTCCAACGTTAGCAATGCAAGCGGGCGGCTCCCTCACGGTGGCTGTATTGCAGGATAGACTGGCGATTTGGCAACGTACATCCGTTGAGATCAGGGCTCATAAAGAATGATTGGCGGGCCATCTTTTGCTGCAGTTGCTCTGTCCTGCTTTTCTTTCGAGGCTTCCAAAACTGCACTTTGTAATTTATATAATGGAATGTAAACCTCGGTTTGCTTATGTTGGTCATTCCCTTTTATTATTATTTTTTTTTTACGTTATTTATTTATTTATTTTTATGGTCCCTTTCAGGTTTTCACTGTGTCCGTCCTATTTGGGGAGGTATCTTTAAGGTTATGTCATCGGGACCACAAAGGTAGTGCGTTTAAGGTCATACCCCAAGACCTGGGGGCACGTTTTTAAGGTCGTGCCTCCGAGACCGTAGAAGTTACGAGTAGTACCTCTTCAGATAACGTCCGTTGATGGGTGGCATGGCTTCTTCACAAAAGGACCATCCCATTTTGGCTCAAGCTTCCCCTTATGCGCCCCATGCATGACAATCGGTATTTTTATTGCCAGGACTAGGTCACTACGGGTGAAAGAACGGGGTTTAACTGATTTTGTCAAAAGCTCGCTTCATCCTACCCTGATAGACTTCGATGTTCTGTTGAGCCTTGATCCTTTTCTCATCGAGTGCATCCAGCTCTTGATAATGGAGATTCACCTGTTCATCTTCTGTCGTACCATGGTGGATGGCGACGCGGAGCGAGGGAAGCTAAACTTCACGGGGTAGTACGGCTTCACTCCCATAGACCAAAGAGTAAGGAGTGGAATCAGTGGCATTTCTAATGGTAATATGGTAGGCCCACAAGACTTCAGGGAGCTTCTTGTGCTAATTTTTCTTTTGTTTTTTATACTGTCTTTTGTAACACAGAGCAGAGGGTCTTATTGAATGCCTCGACTAGGCCATTTGCTCGAGGGTTGTACATGGTGGAATATTTCCACTCGAGGCCAAACTGGTTCTCCAGGTGATCAATATACTGGCTTTTGAATTGTGGGCCATTATCTGATATAATTCGATCAAGTACGCCAAACCGATAGATGATGTGATGTCTCACAAAGTTGGCCACCACTATCCCAGGGACATGCTTGAGGGGTATTGTTTCGACTCACTTGGAGAAGTAATCCGTGGCAGCCAGGATGAAAGTATGACCCAATACCGAGGGGGGCTCGATAGGTCCCACAACGTCCATACCCCAATGAGAAAAGGGCGACAATGCCGCATTGGGGTGGAGAGGCTCCAGTAGTTGGTGAATTAAGTTTGCATGCATCTGGCATACTTGGCATCTTTTAGCGTAAGCTAGCGAATCCACAACCATTGTTCATCTCTAGCCATGGTTTTTTCCATTTGGCTTCTGCCTTCAGCTACTAGAACCTCGGCTACGAAGAGTTCAATTCCCTCATCTTCATTACCTACAACCACAGGGGTAGCAACCTCTTGATGCTCAGACATGTCATCAACTTCAAGCTCTTCTCCTTGAGTCATAGCCCCCTACCTCTGTTGGGGCACCAAGCTCCTCAGGCTTGGAGGCCACATCAATATCAAGGCCTCTATCTAGAGCAGTGGTTACAACACCTTCATCCTCATCTATCTCCATCCGAGCTGCCTCTGCCTCCGAAACTATCTTGAGACTCAAAGGCGCCTCCTCAAGATTCGGAGTCATCTCTCGATCAGAAGCAATGCAATAGGCTCAGAATGGCCAAAATCGTCTGCTTTGATTTATGAAGAAAAAGAAAACAATTCAAGAGAAGCAGAAGGTGGTTTAAAGAGCGCAGAAGGTGATACTAGAGTAGTTCTTGAAAGATCAAAAGAGGAAGAGCTACCTTTTGATTCTGACGCCATAGGAAGCTTAACACTCTTGCGCCTCTGAATACGCCCACTAACTGAAGGCGGGGCATGAGTATCGACAGCAGTCGAGCGCTTTCTTTTCTTTTCCCCTCCTGAAGTAAGAGTTGTCGCTTCAGATCCACCTCCTTGAGAAGACCCTCCAGCTAATTTACTGTGGGGACCACCCCTAATAATGACATTCAAATCCTGTGGAGGATGCTTCTCACAACCAGGAACTCGTCACCCCTAATCCCATTCGAAGATGGAACTGAGACTGTCGAAAACACTCCCAATCTTTGTCTTCATTGCAAGGAATTCTAACAAGGCCTCGTCAACTGTGATTTCATTGCGAAAGCCCCAAAGCCGACCATTTGGAGGGATAATCCAAGACAAAAAACACATCAATAGCTAGAGCATCCGCCACTCTCTTTTGCTTGGTATCTTGCCACTAGTTACCATTCAACCCCTTTTCAAGAGTGATCTTGATCCCAATATCCCTTACTGGTGATTATCCACCAATTCACATAAGCCATCATCGTCCGAACCCTTTTGTCGAAGTGAGGTATGACGTATTTGCTAGTTTCTAATGGGTCTTCCTTTCAAAATCTAAGCAAAGCTGGATGTCAAGGCATCATAAAAAAGGATGATGATTCTTTCATTGCCTCATTTGCTATTCCCCTTGATATTACATCTAATAATTATGCAAATTCCATGATTTGGAAATTGATCTAACAATAAAGATGGATTGTTTGCTACTACAAATTGAAGGTGATTCCTCCTTACTAGTGCAAATTATACATGGGAACTGCAAAAACCCATGGGTGCTTCATACCATAGCTGTTAATTGCAATGGCAAACTTGCAAACCATTCATGGTCTATTTGCCATATCTACCACGAAGCCAATATCGTGGCTGGTTGTAAATTAATATGCAATAATTTTCTTTTATGTTCTATTAGTGAAAAACAGATAGAGGACCTTCTCCCCAATTCACTTACCTATAAAAAAAAAAAAATTGGCATGCTACATGAAATCAGATACTAGTTGGTTCCTTACATTTTATTTGTGTTGGATACTCTCAAGTGCAAGCATGTGAGAAGTCTCTGAACCAGTAACGGTTTTCCATTAAAGGTAGAAATTAACTTGAGATTTCATGAAAAGCAATTTCATGAAAATTCTAAAGAGAGAGAGAGAGAGAGAGAGAGTATACAATGGAAGTGAACTGCATAACACTGCTACAGAGACAAGGGAATACCCTTGATGGCAATCTCACATGAAATTCCTCAAACTCTGAGTAATATCAAATTTAAACTTTTGCATGCACCTACAAACTAACCCTTGGTCATATAGGTTGAATCCCAATCTACAACTAAAAGTGGCACAGGAAACAAAAGAAAAGAAAAGCTCAAGACTGCTCCTCCTCATCTTCTATCTTGGGTGCCAAGTAGAACCTCAAATATCCCATGTCTGCAATTTTGTACTCCACCACCAGTGGTAAATCTGAAGACATGCTGAGACTTACAGAGTTTGAGAGTGGAGTTGCCTTTGTGAAGGAATTCATGTATCGAAGTGCAAAGGTCAGGGAAACTGGCTCCTTCATCTCAATGACAGTGGCCTCTTCAGGCTACATGTGTGTGAGAGAGAGAGAGAGGGGCGGAGAGAGTCATAAGTCTCATACTTTACCAAGGGGCAAACTAACTAAAAGCTGGAAGGTATGACACATTTTTAGATGTCAAATTTTACACAATTTACTAAGGTATGCTTTCTTGCCTCTACATATACACAAAAATAGATAGTTGTGTATGTGTGAGAGACTTTCAGTGTCATTATTTATCCACCAACAATAAAAATAAGCATTCAGCCATCAAAAGGTCCATCTTTAGATACCAAAGGTCAGCCCTCTAAGGAGACTATAATCACTCTTATCTGTCAAATTTCAAATTAGGTGGTCACACTCTCAAACTTTGTGATAAACCCTAAGCCATCTAATTTAACATCTAAACTAGGATTAATTGTGACCTTGTAATGAAGTTAAATGGTCTCATAGTATACAATCCCTATATATATATATATATATATATATATATATATATATATATA